CCACTTGTTCAAATCAAAGAAAACTGGTGTCAATCAATTGTGCTACGTTTGTGCTGTTTGTGCTGCTCAAATTTTTGTTTATGCTGCTTTTGTTTTGAAGATATTAACGAAAGTATACCAACATGAACTACATTTTGTTCATTGATCATATATGATATAAAGCTGTCTTTTATAATGCATCTCATAAAAGCTGAATTTCCAAAACAGCTGTTCTCATTCACAAATTCTAATGCTAATATCATCAAGGGGAGGAGAAAAATCAGCTTTTGACTGAAAAGGGGTGACTTCAGAACAATTGAGAAATTGTATTCACTTTTAATGCTTCTGTTAGCATCAGCTCATAGAATTTGCTAAGGGTTTTTGAGTAAAAAACACACAGCAACACAAAATAACTGCCAGATAATGAATGTTTACTTGGACAAAGTAACAGGTCTCCCTAATGCAAATTTTCTAAATACCGCACAGCCTAATAAACAATTTTGTTCATGAGTTGAAGTGTTTTTACTTGTCTTTGCTGCCCATAAATAAATCAATAAAGGTGCAAACCCTCTCTTGGTTTAACCTTTTAGCTTTAAGGGGCAAGGCATGTGCCTGCAGATAATGTATTCGTACATACAAAGCAAAGCAAAAGGTGGAATAGTCAAGTTTACAGAAARACAGTGCATGAGGCTAGAAAACGGCCATGCAAATTGCTGCCCTCACYCACATTAAGACAACTCTGCTGGCCTCTGGAAAATAAATATCAATACCTTAAAAACCATAGCAGCACAAACAAAAATTTTTGCTGCACAAACCAGCACAAAYRTAGCACAATTGATTGTCACCARTTTTGTTTGAGTTGGCTAATGTAGGGGGGGCTGGTTGACCTCTGGTGACCTCTAGAAACTTTTATTAATACACTCCTGATCAAAATCTTAAGACCAGTCAAAAAAGTGCAAGAATTTGCATTTTGCACTATTGGATCTTAAGAAGGTTCTAAGTAGAGCTTCACAATGTTAAAAGAAGAAATCAGTGCAAGAGACAAGAACTTTTGAGCAGGAATTGTCTGAAAACTGCATTTACACTCAAACATGACTTTTCCAGCTGGTGGAGCTGTTGTCTGTGAACCAGGATGGCCCACCCCTGGTGGAGCTGTTGTCTAGGACCAGGATGGCCCACCCCTGGTGGAGCTGTTGTCCAGGACCAGGATGGCCCACCCCTGGTGGAGCTGTTGTCCAGGACCAGGATGACTAGTGGTTTTTCCAGAGATACAGTGTGATAATGTGTAAAAACGCTTCATGAAGTCTCATCTGCCCATCACTATCCATTACATTAGCTAGCTGTACATTAA